GCCTGATGACTGTAGGCATTCAGCACTCCAGCAGATAAAATCTTAAACTTGACATCAGCTTCAGCCGTAGGCTGAGGTTCTTTGTAAAACAAACTTGGAAAAGGAATGGGCGGAAGTAATCGTACTGGCTGCGAATTTTGAGCATTCTGTAGAGATTCGTGATTGTCATCAAGTCTAGTCCTCGTTCTCAGTTGGTCTCGGAGTCTGTGTAAACCACCAACAACCTTACGAAAAACAGACCCATCTACTTTCTGAGCAATAGAAAATGAAGGACCTAGACTAAGAAATCCAAGCGCGTTATCAGAAATATGAGTGTCGCCAATCACCGTGACTCTAGTCAATTCAGTGGAATTTCCATTATGAGTTGAAGAATCAACTAAGCGGTGGAATGAAGGTAAGCTGCTCTCAACGTTACCTGAATTTTTGTGAGTGGCACTCCAAAGCTTGTCGTACTTGGCGCAAAGTCTGGATTTGGCTTCAGATCGAATAGAAGCACAAATCGATCTCGAGCCGTTCTCAATCCTCCTCCAAATCCGAGATGGCACGAGACGTTGGCACGCATCTTCTTTTCGAGTACATTTCAGCAAACACGAGTACAATGCATGTTGTTTTTCTTTGATGATGACTGCCAGAATCGAACGGTAAATTTTCTTTATCTTCAAGTCATCTTCTTCGAGACTGCATAGTGCTCCAAGTTTCTTGCTTGAAATGAACCACTTCCCACACGCTCCGCACATCCGATTACTGTTAAAAGAGCTGTTATTCGTAACATGCTCAAAACAGCAACGAATGTATGCACAGGAGAAGAAGAACGGAAGGAGTCGCGGAGATGGGCGCTGGATATTGCTCGAATAAATGGCTACACGTTCCGAAACGGACGTGGTGGACCATCTATTACCATCAACAGCAACCAGCACCGACAGAAAATACCTCTCTGCCTTCCTTTCGTCTCTGACGCGACTAGTGCTATAGTGCGACGATGCATTAAACACGCGAACCTCGAAAACGATGTCATTTTGATTGACGTTCCAAGTGATAACATCAGGAAGCGATTAGTACGTAACAGGCTGTACGACAACTACTGCAGAATCCAAGACTGCGTAGTTTGTCCATCCGGTAAAGTTGGTGACTGCGGTAAGACAGGTGTAATCTATCAGATCGAATGTATCGAGTGCAGCGCCACTTATATCGGAGAGACTGGGAGACCGTTGGGAGTTAGATTAAAAGAACATCTTGCCAGCAAAAGGCGAGGAAGCCTCACCACTCCTCTCGGTAAACATAAAGTTGAAGTCCACGGTGGTGAGGACTTCGAGATCAGATGTGTAATACTGGCATACGAATACGACACTGTCATTAGAAAGGCTCTCGAGGCGTTCTGGATTTTCGCAAGAAATCCTAGCATGAACAGCCGAAATGAGTGTATGTCAATCACAAATGACTTTATGCCATTCGTGACGTTATGTGAGTTGAAAGACCACTGATTAGTTCGAATATGGTATACAATGTATTCCATTATTGGTATCAGTGGCACTGAAGGACGGCCGCTTCAACATCTGCGCGCCGGCGTGGAGGAGGTTGGTTCGTCTTTCACGTTATGGAGTTTTTGTTTGTAGCATTCTGGGGCAACGTCGAGGCTAGCCGGGGATGGAGGAGGTTTTTGGTGGGGTAGACATAAAATCATAAATCTCTTACCACTTTAGGCCTCTGAAGAAGACGAATAGCTCGAAACGTTAGGCCACCACTTACTAATAAATACTAACCTCGATTGGCTTACTAACTACTCACAACACACTATGCTTTTCCTCTATAATTTTATTTGCTACAGAACTCGACTTAATTGCCACTTATTCGCTCAAGTTAAGAGACTGTATTTATGACTATGCATTTGCAAACTACGTATTGCACGCTTCCTTGAGAGTTCCAGCTTTCAGTCCATTTCCCAAACCACGTGCAGTTACTTTAGTAATGGATCACTTCGCAAAAGCAATTCTAATATATGCAAAATGTCAGGCCAATTTCAAGAAAAGATAAAATGCATGCTTCGAATGTAATTCGGTTAATCGAGTCAACGCGCTCTCCATAGAAACTTCAAGGCAGTGGCTCACCAGAATTAGATTGGAGACTCAAATTACAAATTGCAAATTAGGAGGAGTTATGCTGAATATCATTTCGGGAGCAACGGGGTATTGTTTGCCGGATCCGGGGCAAAGTCCCTTAGAAAATCGCAAGAGATACACTAAGACGGATATCTATGCCATAAATTTTCCATCCAGGCACACTTTGAGTAAGTCGAGATAGCATCATCAATCACATACTCTGACACGACCTCGCACAACAGGAAACTTAAAATTGCGCTCCAAATTAATGAATGGTTTGTTAACAACTGACAAGCAATGATATGAAATCGAATCAGGCGTACATAAGCCGTGAGAAACCTCGAACTATTGCTGAGAAATTTACGGAAGCCCGAGTGAATGAAAGTTGCGACCACCTTTTTCCGTATTAGGTGTAACCGTTCAAGTACGTGCTGTTGAGTTAGAACCGACCTTTTGCCCACATAACTTCACACGAAATTTTTCGCAAATCGTATCTGCATATTGGGGGTTTTTATAGTAGCACGAAACGGTTTCATCTTTTTCTGCTTTTCATAGCCTTGAAGATATTTCACTAGTGATGCGTTCCTACTCCTATAGCAAAGCGCAAAACTACGTCCAAGTCCTCGCTGATATTGCCTCCAGTTCAAAGTGTCTCTAGCTATTTTTCATACGACTCTCAACCATTAGCCCTTTGTTGCATATATCTCAGGCGCCTCTCACTTTCTTTTACGTTTTTTTTGAAAATCATGTGACCGTAGAAAACCCCCGTCAGCTCAGTTCAACTCAACACCTTATACAACTGAACTTTTGACTTCCTGCCCTCCCATGCTTCAAGGCAGCTCGCGTTTCAAGCATGAAGATAAGACGGGAAAAATGAAAACGTAGGTGCAATAGCGCCCATCCCGTTCGAGCGCTTGCCCAAGCATTGCACCAATCGCTTCTAAAATAGAAAAACCGCTTCAAAAGCTACAATACGATGCCTCTGTGGGAGTGCCCTTCGTGTTACTGATTTCAAGCTGCAACCCAAAGTTCGCATATTGCACACAATCAAGGCATAGAGCCACACAACGACAATAAGTTTTAACCTTGGTGGCATATATCAAATTCAAAATCCATGGTTACTGGAACACCTGTCACGAAATTTGTGTTCTACAAGCTTCATTTTCGGAAAGAGCGGGGAGGATATTCCCAGGTAAGACAACCTTTGATCCAAATTGCCAGGACGCTGCGTTCATACAAGGCAAGTTCATCGGAAGTTCTATTGTGGTACGAGAGCACACAAAACGCGAAATTGCACAATATTGGGGCTAACATGAGAGAAGACCGAGGAGCAGCTTATAGCAGCCAATTTCATTGGTTACAATATTGGATAATTTACCTTTAGGTCTCGTTCCTTTAGGTGTACACGTTTGCCACGATTGATGCTGCGCTGATGCGCCGTAGATTCAACTTAAGCCTTAGCCTAGTCGTTACGTGGAGTTCACTAGGTACCGTAACTGCTGCACATACCCTTTCCGAAACGTTAATTACTTCTTTTGTCCTTAGAAGTTTCTACATAGGCGCAAAACACTTGCTCAACACCGTCTTAGACCCCATCAAATAGATACTATACCTTATTCATTCTTTACTTGCTCATACAGCTCTCCTCAGCTCTGTGTAATGTCTATTATAATGAGCGAGATCATTAAGGGTAGCAAACAATATATTTAATTACCAGTGCTTCACCTCTGCTTCGCAGAGGTTCGCACTGGCATCGTGAACCGTGGTAAACTCACTTTCTGAGAGCTTGTCTCTCAAATCATTGCTCGGTTTATTGCAACGTGAGCCGTAGTTTAAAATGAACCATACTCCCTATCTTAACCTCACATGATGTTTAGTATCGTAAATCATTCCTCACTGTAATTTCGTAACGGACAAACTCCACACAACTTCAGATTAAGCCGCTTATTATAAGTCATGATATGTACTCGTGTAACACTGATTGACTGTTCCGGCCTCGCCCAAAAAGTGTTGATCAACTTGCAGAAGAACAAAGCATTCTGAGATGCAGCGTAAGAAATTTCAAAAAAATTTGGGGTTGCGTTTTATAGTGGGGCCGGAACATTGCAGATAATTGGTAGGGTAAAGTTAATAGAAAAAAAGCAAGTCATTAACCCTCCAATATCTATAAGGTGATGGCTTCAGTTTCACTTGAAAGAAAACCATGCCCATGGAAACTCTGACAAACTTGCCCAAAAGTTGATTGAAACGACCGCCAGGGTTGCAAATATATGTGCCGAGTTTCACAATCTATCACGCCGATAGACTGACTTACCGACCGTGACTTATAAAAATGTGTAAGCGACTCGTTTGTACTGTAAATAATTAACATATTTTTTTAAAGTTTAAAATTTTTTTAAATCCGATTTAGCCTTACAAAAATTTTGGGGGCATGTTGCCGCCACGCCCCCTTTTTCTAAAATTTCAGGCTTATGGGCTCGGAGTGGCCTCACCCACGCACCTTCATCAGCAAATTATTTTTGGCGCTCACCCTCCCCCCCCCTCCCCTTGAATAAATCCTGAGTATTCCACTGGTTCAGACGAAACATCGGTCCGGGTCCTTGTACACGTTCTATGACCAATAGTTTTACGCGTTATTGTAGAAATAGAGCTCATATGCCAATAGGATATTCAGAGAAAGAAAGAACATTCCAAAGAAAAAATTTCAAATGTTGCAAACGCGTGCGAACTCTTCTTTTCTCTGTTTCTCTTTTTAGAGACATCTCGTCCTCAGACGTCAACACCAGGATATGAACAATGACTATACAAAACTTTTGATATGCTTTATTACAAGTGACTCTAGTCATACTTGATTATGATACAAGAAGAATCGTGAAACAATAATAATCTATACATAAGAACGTTCCACATATTTTCATATTACACAGTTAAAATACAGGTAGATTTCCAAGTAAATCAAGACATGACGCAAAGTCGATACCCGGTCACAACTCAATATCTTAGATCCTAAACTGTATATATGTGTATGTGTATGTGTATGTGTGAGAATGTAGTCAAACGAATGTCTCCAAAAAAATTGATCAGCAGATCAATTCAAGACGCACGAATCCACCAAAGAAAGAGTGGCTCAGAGAAAAGGGAACTAAAGAACTACGTAGAAGGCCTAATTAGAGTACTATTTCAAAGAGCTAGAGCTTCCAGAGATACTAATTGACGATACATGTATCAAATACTCTTGACAACGTAGGAGGTTCGATATCTCATAGATGACATCACTGAAACAAGTGAACCTGAGTAAATGACGCTGAATGGATGACACATGCATAATTAGGGCTTATCCCGAATGTGTGCCATGGGCGGAGTCGTGTCGCATGAGCACGCGACGCAACGCCTACTTCACCTCAAAACCGCCCACGTCTACACAAATGTAAATGCCGAGATTACACATGTAATATGTACATTGTGAATGGATAATACTTGAAAGAGATGACGAATGTTTAGGCGCTTAGTGCGATGGAACACACGAGGTGAACCGAACCGGGTTAACAAGTCGCAGAGGGCAGGAACAAGTGAAAGGCGCCGTGTAGAGCTCAGAAAGCCGAGAAGAAAGGCCGTGATGTGGATGTGTAAAGGCTGAACAGACTGTCACGAGGTTTTCGTGACGGTGTCGGTGTAAGCAATGAGTACTGTACACTGCTCGATGAAACTGCTGGTGATGTGGAGCGTCGTAGTGTGGAAGTGATTGGCCGGAGATTGCTGGAAAATAATAATTATGAGAGTAGTTGAAACCAAGGATATTTTTTCTTTTTGGTTAGCCAGTGCGCCAACCCGTGAAGTATACAAAACAAACTGAAGGAACTTCTAGCGAATGGCCAGCTGCACTGCAGGCAGTCTTAAAGGCAGCATCCCACCAGACTGGGGGTACCTGCCCTTGTAATGATGTAATAGCAGACCCCCTACCTAACTCGTACCTATAGTTACAAATGGCTGCGAAGAGCGCGCTCCATGACCCGGTGCATATTACGCTTCCGCACGGGACTCCTGCCGATTGTGCGAGCATACCCCATAACTTTCCTCGCGATGTAAGCTACGCTCAAGAAAAACAACTCTTTCTTATAGTAGAATCATCAGAAAACAAGTGCATTTATTCTTCGCTTGATGAAAGCTTGTCTAGTCACATAATACATCCACATCAATGTTTCTTAATCCGATGACCACGAATAGCATGGAAAAAAGGTGATGGGTGCATAAGCGTAAGGCAGCCTTAACAATGTGTTGTGCTCCTAAGACAGCCATAAAGAAGTCAGCTGCACATTCAGCTCGCTAAAGGAGGAAGTTTAGCTTGTGACTGAGTATTGTAAGTTTGCTTTGAGTTCGACAGCTTTATGTTTATAGCAATAATCGCATCGTTTTGAACAAACTCCAACTTAGGAAGGCCGCTGTGACGTCAACCTGGTCTATCGGTCTGCATCAGAATAGCCTTCGTTCATTTATGATTGGTTGACAAGTCTTCAAAAGCATGGGTTTGATTTTGTTCATGAGAGGGATACGTGGTTGATGCTTTTTTGACCCTTTGTTTTTCAATCTGATAACCACAATGTTTTACGTGACATATCAAGAAGACTGCCTCCTTTGATGGCACATTCAGGAAAACTACTTCTTCAGTACGATAATCCAAAGGTTTTCATGAGCGGCATCTGGTAGTGCAAGGTTCCTGGTTTCTATGACCTGCAATTATGTGAAAGAGGCAGTTAGAGCTTTAGTTCGTGAACATGGAGTCAATCTCTTGTGTGGTAGTTTGAAATCAACTAAACACGCCGCATGCAGATATCCTTCAAATCTATTATGAAACGAAGCACAAGCGCTAAACTTATCCATTCACTGTAAGCATGGTTCAGAAGAGAGGTTGCAGTGATTTTACAGCAAAAGTAAACAGATCACCTTTTGCAACTTTTCAAGCGTCCAGCATCAAGAATCGGAAATATGCTCGAGAGGCTTGCTAGTAAAAAAGGCTGTACGAAAAAGCCCGTGTATACCAAAAGCTGACGATTTGTTGTCGACGTGCTTACCACTACCATAAATGAACCTGCTGCCTCATCAATGACATGCTCAGCATCAGTTCAGTTTATTAAGAAGATGAACCTACTATCGTTCGACAAACATCGGGTGGTGGCATATTCAGCTCAAACATCAGATATCGTACTGTAACTGTACTTTCACCTGAGCTTGTACTAACTTGTGGTGTACTTGTATTCTCATGATTCTCCCAGATAAGGGTTTTCCCTTCAGTGTCGCATTGAAAATTATAGGGTGTGAGCGTTGTACCGACAAGAGTCCCGCGCGGAAGCGCAATTTGTACTGGGTCATGGGGCGCACTCTTCGCAGCCATTTGTAACTATAGGTACGAGTCCCCTACCTAAGCGATGACTGAAGTTCGGAGCGAAAAAGGGGGTCTACCAAGCCTGAAATTTGCTCCGAAAGTGGGCCGAATCCTGCGGTAGGCTCGGGCGAGTGCGAGGTGCGTGCAAGGTAGAGACGCAGAGTTGTTGCGGGTCCCTGCGCTCATGATGTGTGCACTATACGCACTCTGGCCCTGCAAATCGATATTGCCGTGTGGGCGGCGTTCGGCCCTACCTTAAGATTCGGCCCGCTTTCGGAGTAAATTTCAGGCTTGGTAGACCCCCTTTTTCGCTCCGAACTCCAGTCATCGCTTAGGTAGGGGGTCTACTATCACATCATCATTAAGCTCTTGCGACCGTCTCGCCTTGCCCACCGCCGCGCTCCAAACGTATCCCCTGGCGACCCAGGGGATACGTTTGGATCCCCATCGCCGCCCATGGGCGAAAGCCCACAGGATACGCCTGCGTAAGCGACGCAAGACCAAAACTCGCTACGGCACAAGGAGTCCCAGTCGCCTGAGCTGTCACGCTGGAACTGGATCCCGTAAGTCAAGTTAGGCAAGCACTGGCACTGTCGCACAATTTTGTCACGATTTTCTGCGGACAATCAATAAAAATTGGGGCGAGTCTTGACAACATTTTTGACATCGCATATCCACGACACCCCCCTGCTAGCTAAACTTCAAAACAGGAAATACACACCTAGCAGAGTATCCTCGCCTTTTCGTTAATGACAATGCAATCGGTTGTCTGATGAGGGTACCGCTTGAGACTTTCTGCTGTTGCTGTTGTTGTTCTCGATCTTGTGCTCGTTTGAGATCATCAACATAGATGTCCGGGATCGGTAAATCACACTGATTTGTCATTACCATCGTCACTGAGGCAGATCCTGAACAGAATTTTTGTAGTATGAATATGATGAAATTAGTATTGGTAGGTCTGCAGGCGTATCAAGTCTACAAACTCGAAATCTGGTAAAGGGATGAACACCGCCAATAAGCACCGCTCCACGGACAACTGTTCCTCAAATGGCACGCCATAGCATGTGAAATAGGAACAGTGGTCTGCTGGAGCGTGCCTAATGGCAATTAGTAACCCCAAACCATCTCCATATGCCTCTTAAGCCTTTACCCTCCCTTCGAGAACAGCAAATTTTATTCTATTACAGCTCACAGACATCTGTCTTCAACTAATAACAACCAACCTCGAAAGCGCTTCTCATAATCCACCATCTGCTTCCAGAAACCAACATTCGGACGGATGATGGGTCGGCAAGATTTTACATAGTGATAGGCTTGTCGAAGTGTCATTCGTTCATATTTTACGAGGTAGATCATCACCAAAGAGGCAGAACGTGATACACCAGCCATGCAATGGACCAAGGTCTTTCCGCCGCGATCCTGAAAAAATTCAAGAATTGAATTTCATGGTTTTGTTGGTAGGATGCACATTTTGGCTTTATCAGAAGTATCCTGACAAACTCAGTCACTCATCACAGAAGAAATAAATAATTTCGAGGTTCTCTTCTTTGCCCTTCAGGAAGGAACCTCGAGATCTTCAAATACAGTAATGTAGCGTTAATTTTTGTATTTTTTTGTAGACCAAAACTCTTTACTTTGAGTGCATTCTTCCATACAAAAATAATGTGTTCAACTGTGGGACTCTTTTCTAAAACCGGTTTGAAATTGAACATTAGGAGGAAGTCCACAGTACGACAACATTTTTTATTGAGTTAACTGGCACTTCTGGAATGAGGAGATAAAAACCTTTAAAAAAATTAGCCACTCAATATTATTTTCGTAAGCTGATGATTCAAAAATACCTTCTCAAGATACAAACAGTGTGACACATAAAGAAAAGAATTTGAGTATTCAAAAAAGGTGCAAAAATTATAGAAAAAATGCAGTAATCCACAACCGGCGTTAGCGTTTGCTATTACATGAACACATGGAGAAAAGAGAATTCCACAAAATTTGCCTCGAACTTCGCTGATATAACCTTTAATTCAACTGGCTTGGCGGCTAGAAGGCGGAGCTTTCTGACCTAATTAAGGCCGCTGGCGCCCGCTACGCAATCTGCGTCTCTCCCGCGCGCGTGCTCTCTGATCATTATTTAGCCTTAATTAGGTCACAAAGTCCCGCCTTCCAGCCGCCAAGCCAGTTGAATCAAGGGGTACCTGCTCTAAATACCGTATTCTAAATCGCATTCCTATGAAGTGTAGATGATGGGAAGAATTCATAGACCATGCTAACGGTGTACTTCCTCATATACACATCGTGCATATATCAAGCCTTTGATTTAGATAATTTTGTTAATTTGACCTTACCTTGACAGCCTTGATCTTGTCGGCCACTTGATCGAAATAGTCTTGAATACGTGCATATGGATGGTCATCTATCCGAACTTTCATATATTCAACTCCTGAAATAATTACAGTTCATTTTCTTACTTTCGTTCTCAAAGCACTCGTTCGAGATGACTAGTTATATACTGATAATAATATTATACTTTGTTCGATGAACGTTGCGTCAACAACGTTGAAAACTCTTGAATTTGTAACAAAATACTAGACATTCCAAACAGTTGTTGTTTACATCTTCTGATAACGACATTACATCACTCAAACTACTGGCAACCTGAGAAAACAGGAAAGTGCGTCAATTTCCAACCCCAAGAGATAAATTATACAAAAAATGCCAGAATTCTTTAGCGTACAGTATTGTACGTACACACACATACAGATTTTAAGAAAAATTTTGAGCTTTGCCAGCTTTTTTACTCAAAAATGCTCAAAACATCAAGGTTGCGAATGTTAATAATTTTTATATCAAAACTAGATGCTGCTCAGTCAAAGCGATTAAGAATCTCAGATTTCTGCATAACTAGGCTTCCAAAATGTGCACTGAAAATTTAAATACAGTAGGATATGGAAGGGAGGAGAGGGGGATGACAAAGAAAGGACATCTCCAGTAAGCACGAAACTTTGGATTAGTTTCAATCTGTGGCGTGGATCAGTTCCATGCCATTGATTTTGTGTGATCAATATTTTTGGTTCATTTACATATTCTTCTTTATTCTACAATGACAAGTAAATAATGAAAATTCACAAGAAAGAAGCGACCACTAACCTTGAATATATGCGTTCGGTTCTTCTGTGGTCGCATTAACTATGAAACATATCCGTTTTTGTTTGATTTTTTCCGGTTTCAAACACCCAGCTCCGGACAAGAAGAGATCGTTGGTGATCTCGGAAATCTGGCCAAACACACCGACCCGAGACATCCTGCAAACACAGAATTGAAGAAAAAATCGATATATCGATCGCACGCAGTCAACGGGACAAGGGGATTCAAATCAATAAATCGAGCAGGATCATGGGGACAACGAGACTGAGTAACTGATACACCGACCGCAACCGGGATAAAAGAGAAAAAAGCTGATCAATACATCGATGAAAGCAGGGGTCAAAAAGACCAGACGTTTCAAAAAATCGATATATCGATCGCGAACTGGTCAGAAGGACGAATAGAGTTAATTCAAATCGATCGCGAGCAGTCAACAAGACAAGATGATTCCAATCAATATATCGATCGCGAGCAGTCAACAGGACAAGGAAATTCCGATCAATATATCGATCGCAAGCGGGATCGAAAGGAAACGAAGAGCAAATGGTCGATAGATCGTTTGCGAACAGGATTATAGGACGAGGAGCTTCAAATCAAATCAATTTATCGATCTCGAACAGGAAGCGGATAAGGATCAATTAGATGTGAACATAAATCACTCTTGAGTACAAACTAATGAAAGCACACTACATTTCGCAATCCAAGAATGTGAAACTAAAAGTGGAACATAATCGTTGAAAGTGAGTAATACACTAAAAAGCATAAAGTCACTGCCCTTTACCACAACAGAACCTGTTCACCTCATTCCATAACGCATAACTGAGCAAAGTACCCTCTAAGTCTGATCAAAACACAAGTGAATGAAAAAACTGATGGCGAGTAGCATATTTTAAGTGGTATTCTCGAACTATATAAAACACTTGGCAAACTAAAATCAACTTCTGCTCCATCATTGGTCAGATGGGAAGGAAAAGTTCGATTTAGAGGACAATAATCTGGAACTGACCAAGAACCCCAAAACTGGCTTAAAACGACAAAAATCGCTAGTAATGCACTACTCTGTCGTCGAAAATAAGTAGAAGAACGCCTGTTCTAGTCTAGCGCAAATGGTCTTGCAAAGAATAAGCCTTCTTTAGCGGTTACGGTAAGCATACGGTAGTGAGAAAAGCATCAGAGCTCTGCACAAAAGAAAAGTCTATTTAGTTCAACTGGCTTAGCGGCTGGAAGACGGGACTTGTGACCTCGCGCCCGCAACACAGTCTGCGTCTCTCCCGTACGCGTGCTCTCTGATCGTTACCTAGCCTTAACTAGGTCAGAAAACCCCGCCTTCCAGCCGCCAAGCCAGTTGAATCAAAGGGTAAGTAATCTAATATTGAAGACGGGAAATATGACAGCCAAAGCATGATGGGAATCGACTTCAAGAGCTAGCAATGCGGCACAATATATGACTCAAAAGGAAAATAGGACTCAAGATAGAAAAAATTTCAAAAAACAGACAAAACTTTCACTTTCTTTGGTACCAAAAAAAAAGTGCCAAATTAAACCAAGAATACACCTAACAAATGCGGTGAAATTTCTCCTTGAACAAAAGAAGCTGCGCGTACTGCGCAGTGCGATTTTAAGCCGACGCTCACCGATGAGAGTGCTCGTGGACAGTGGAGACGCAGACAACTGGAGTACAACTGTGTATGCAACCACAATGACCGCAAATGCGTAATGTCTGCGTCACTGACTCAGCCATACATGAAGACACTAACGGAATTTTTTTCATGTTGAGTGTTTCAAAAGAGACTGAGATTTGGGGAAAGAAACTGTAGAACCGAAACAATATGGAAGCGTCGTTTGAAAAAAAGAAGTGCTCTTCTGAAAGGACTGGCAAGAAGACGATTTATGTTCATGCAAAGAAGGCTAGAGGGGTATCAAAGGAGCGAGAGAAAAATCAAAGATCATCAGAGAATTTTTTTTGATGCAGAACTTTATTTAGCTTGCTAGTCACCTGACACGCGACAGATATCTCCAATCTTTACGCTAGATTAGCCGCATTAGCCAGGATAGCGTAGTAAAAAACGAAAGCAACATAATATAAGCGGTCAAAGTCATTATGTCAAGTGCAGCGGGTTATAAAAAGAAACGGCTATGTCAAAGCTAAGTCATGCCTAGTGCAGCAACTATTTAGGATAAGTAAAAGTAGGTTCGGAATAGTATCGTTCGAAAAAAAAAGACGATGAATGGAAGCAAGAGGCTTCTTAGGAAAGCGGAGAGAGCAAGGCAAAAAGAAGGAGAAGTGATTTTCATAAAAAAAAATATTATACAATCGAACGTAGTTCATAAAAACTATTATTCGTCAAAATTTAAAAAAATGTTTAAAGAGCAGGATTTCATCCAGATATGACGACAACATAACCCACACGGTGGGTCTGACTGGGACAATGTGGGTCAATGTGACCCACCGGTGAGTCGTAGCTTGACTTCATTAAGAAAATCACCTCTTTGGGATAAACTCTCTACAAGAGTTGTCTTACGCGCTAGATCCCGGAACACGTGCAAATGCAATGCTGAAGTAGCAAATATTGAGGTGAATGCAATTTCATAGTACGAGTCAAATTTCAACTTCCCCCTCCCCCCCCCCCCTTCCTGCCCCTCACCCAGGCATAAAGAACCTGTGACCACTCTTGACACCAAACCAGATGGAACGGATGAAATTTCAGAAATGAAGAAACTCAAAGAGGCTTTAGGAATCCGAGAAATCTATAAACCAAACCAAAATAGCAGTTAGCGCATTTTTCAGTATTTCTGCTTACATTGGACTGGACATCATACACAGCCTCAGCATTTTCTGTACCATGTGAGTGACCCATAGTGAAAGCTAATAGAAGGTAATTGAACAAAAATACTTCAAATTGGCAAATGCAACATAACTTGCTAAGAAAAAGGCTCTGGAGTGTATTGTTACTGAGAGCTAATAATTCATGAACGAATTCTTCGCAAAGCTTCTCGCTTGCTCTCAACTCAAGTAAAACACCTGAAGTGTGAAGAGTTGCTCGTCAAGTTAAATGATCACAAATCACAATTCCTTAAAAAGTAATTTCCATGTGATACCCAAAACAAGCAAGCTAGTGATACCTTCATTTACGATGACTGTTGAATATCAGATCATAGCTTTTCTTGATACGCCAGATCCAGCACTTCATAGGCAAAATAGTTCAAAACTAAAAATTCCACAAGAAATCCAAAGTTTTCTATTTTGGAATTTCCAAATTTGCCGAATTATTCAAATATTCAAAGAATAGCTCTACTACCAGGTTCATGAAACCCAGTCGCAAGGGGATGACTGCTAATTGAACGTAGGTGTGATTGATTGAGAGCTTCGAGCTGACCGTGGGTGGTCCCTGGGGACCTGGAATAAGGTAGAAGATGGAAGGGAGATGGAAGAGGAGGATTGTAGCTACAAGGGGGAAGAAAAATCATTGAGAATTTAGGTTATTTTCATAATAAGAACAAATGTAAAGGAGTCGATATATAGATAACTAGAGTGTAAAGTAAACGAAAGGTTTTCACTTTTTATCCACTACAAAGTTAACAAGTCCGGAGACTAGTTCTCGTCATCTTCCTCTCTTCACTTGCACTTGTGAACGCAACACAAAAGAGCATTTTTCTCAACAATGACAAACAAAAGAATATGAATCATAAGTAGATGTCGTGTCGTCGATGAATCTGCTCTTTTCATGAAATTTTGCGCAAATCATAACAATCAAAAAAGAAGTGAGCATATAAAGGAGAACATCCCCTAAGTCCTCCAAAAACCATATAATTTGCCCTCGGCCCAGAGGTCCCATGAGAGCTTAAAGTACCGCAAAGTTCTGCGCTTTTGAGGTTTTGTATTTTGAAAGGAGCAATTACCTGAGATATTGAAATTAAGATTTTGTTTTTTATTCATTTTGTGTATTTCTCTTGAAAATAAATTCATGCTTTCCAGGTTACTATTTAGACTATGAGCAGGCCTCAGCTGTAGACCAAGCGTGTTGACCCGGTCCCCTAACGTTGAATCCAAAAGGAGAAAATGGATCTGCAAATTGATGAATCCTTTTTGCGCCCCGTCCCCTTTTTGCGCTCCGCCCATCTATAGACTGCCCCGTGACACGTTCTGACATGGCAAGCAACCTTGATGTGATGTGCCACTGTTGCATACAACGAGGTTTCCTGTTGCACTGTTGCATACAACGAGGTTTCCTGTAGCACTGTTGCATACAACGAGGTTTCGTGTTGCACTGTTGCATACAACGAGGTTTCGTGTTGCACTGTTGCATACAACGAGGTTTTCTGTTGCATACGACGTGAGCAGCGCCGGAACTCTCGCCCACATCTGCCAAAATAGGGTTTTAGAAAGGGCAATTCAAGGGCTCTTGATTTGCACCTCATATCCGAGATCAGGGCCGAATCAATAAAAACATGAAATTCGAAATTTTGAATGGACGCTGCCTTTGAGGCTGGATAATGAAGACAGCACGCATGCGAGAGAGACGCAGATTGCGTAGCAGGCGCGAGCGGCCTTGATTAGGTAGTAAATCTCCGCCTTCCAGCCGCCAAGCCACTTGAATCAAAGGTTACATCAATAAGAAAATAAGACCTCTCACCACTATATTGCAAATTCAAGCTATTTTTAGTTTGCAAGAGGAGACCAGGAAGCAGCATGACAAGGCTTAGACTAGTAACGATAGATTAATCAGAAGAAAAACTGGAGGCTTCATAAACCTCCTGTCAGCCTGGATAATCCTTGCATCGCATGTCTATTCATCAAGTTTTTTCTTCGCCTAATGTCTGGGTGGAACGAAGCTTGGATAATATTTAGGTACGAAGCTAGATAGACGGACGAAATTCTTCAAAAAAGAAAATGGAAGGGGGCTTAAAAAAGCTTTTTTGATTGAGAGGGTGCCTAAAATGCGAAATTTAGTTTCTGTGAGTAGAATTTCAATTTCTGGATTAGTAACTATGCAGTGAAAATCAAAATCTAAAAACTTTAATGATTTCGAATAAAAGCATCTCCTCGACATTATTTTCAATCTATATTTTCATAAGCTTCAAAATTAGTCATTTTCAAAATGCAATTTTTCAAAAAAAAAATAAATAAATTCAGAGAGTTCTGTGAAGTCCAAGCAT